GCAGCAGCAGTAGAACCAGCAGAAGCACTCAAATTGCCATTCGTGAATCCTTTTATTTTTCTCAAGCCGCTTTTTCATATCCGCAGATAAACCCTCAGCAGCACCTGCAGCCTCCCTGCTGCTGCTGCTGCTGCTGCTGCTTCAGCGCGACGACCCTCCCCTCCTATGCACAGTTGCTGCTAGTCTTCCTGCAGCAGGAAACACCTTGCAGTTTTTGCTGCTTCAGCAGCAAGGCGGAAGGCGTCCACAGAGAACCGCAGAAGCAGCTGCAGCAGCAACAGCAGCAGCAGCAACAGCAGCAACAGCAGCAGCAGCAGCAGCAGCAGTTGTATCACTCTAATTCGCTGTGCGCTTGCCCTCACAGTTGAGGCCGGCGCCTGAGCTCTGGGCAGCAGAGGCAGCAGCGAAAGCAGCAGCAGAGGCTGCAGAAGTTCGAGCAGCAGCAGCAGCAGCAGCAGCCAACAGCAGCAGCAGCCACAGCAGCAGCAGCAGCGGGAATGGCGGCATCAACCTGCAAGGTTTTCGTGGGGCGTTTGCCCCACACTCTCACAGAGGTAAGCTTTCCCACGTGAGCAGCAGCAAGACTGCTCCAGCAGCAGCAGCAGCAGCAGCAGCGGCTGCTGCTGCAGCTGAATCAGTCTTGCTGCTGCCGCCGCAGCACCTGCCTCTGCTGCTGCTGCACTCCCCTTTTGCTGCCGCCCGTGGCGGCCGCCGCCGCCCGTGCCTCCCCCGCGCCGCCCTCCCCACCCGCTGCTGCCGCTGCTGCCGCTGCTGCTGCTGCTGCTGCTGCTGCTGCTGCTGCTGCTGCTGCAGGACGCGCTGCGGTCGAAGATGCAGGAGTACGGCCACGTGGCTTCGCTGTTCTACATGGCAGATCAGCTGCAGCAGCAAACTGGATGGGCTTTTGTGACTTTCTGTTCGCCCACGGAGGCTCAAAACGCAGTAGACGGCATTGACGGGCAGCTCACCTTCGAGGTGCTGCTGCTGCTGCTGCTGCTGCTGCTGCTGCTGCTGCTGCTGCTGCTGCTGCTGCTGCTGCCGGTGCCGCCCTAGCTGGTGATACTCTGTTGCTGGTGCTGCTGCTTGTGTTGCTGCTGCTGCGGCTAGTGGTGCTGCCGGTGCCGCCCTAGCTGGTGATACTCTGTTGCTGGTGCTGCTGCTTGTGTTGCTGCTGCTGCGGCTAGTGGTGCTGTTGCTGCTGCCTTTGCTGCGGCTGCGGGTAGTTCTGCTGTCGCTGCTGCTTGTAGTTTTGCTGATGCTGCTGCTGGCGTTGCTGTTTCTGCCAGTGTTCTTGCTGCTGCTGCTGCTGCTTCCAGTGCTGCTGCGCTGCCCTTGCTGCTGCTGCTCCGGCTGCTGCTGCCGGTGGGCCCATGGCTTCCCGTGCAGCGGCGGATGCTGCTGCCTCATGGCTGCCTCTTGCTGCTCTAGCTGCAAAGCTGCTGCTGCTGCTGCTGCTGCTGCTGCTGCTGCAGGGGTTTGAAAGCCCTGCTGAGTGCCGCATGGCCAACCAGAAGCCCAACGCTGCAGGGGCGAAGAAGGCAGCAGATAAAAAGGAAGCCTCGAACGCCCGTAAACCCTAAACCCTAGCTCAAACCCTAAACCCTAAACCCTAAACCCTAGCTCAAACCCTAAACCCTAAACCCTAGCCCCTGGCCGCCACAAACCCCAAACCCTCGAGCAGTCTCTGGAAGGGCACCGCAAACTGCAGCCCCGTGCTGCAGCGCTGCTTCGCCAGTTGCTGCACCTGCTGCTGCTGCCGCAAATTGCTCCTCGCTGCTGCTGCTGCTGCTTCTGCTGCTGCTGCTGCTGCTGCTGCTGCAGCGCCGGGCCCAAACTCGCCGTGGCAGCAGTACTTCACCCACGACGGCCACGCGTATTACTACAACTCGCAAACAGGTGCAGCAGCAGCAGCAGCAGCAGCAGCAAACTTTTATTTTATTTATTTCTTTTTATTTCTTTTTCTTTTTTATCTTCTTTGTATCCTTTTCTCTCCCTTTTCCCTCCTTTTGCTTCCCAGACGAGCTGCATTCTGCTGCTGCTGCTGCTGCTGCTGCTGCTGCTGCTGCTGCTGTCTTCTCAGGCGTTACGCAGTGGGAGCGGCCGCCTGAACTGGACAAGCCGCAGCCGTCCGCTGCTGCTGCTGCTGCTGCTGCTGCTGCTGCAGCACGCGCAGCAAGCTCTCGAGAGTCAGGGTCTCAGTTTGGGCCCCCGGGGGCAAATTTGTTTGTCTTTCACATTCCCAATGATTGGAATGACGTCGACCTCATACAGGCAAGTCTTGCTGCTGCTGCTGCTGCTGCTGCTGCTGCTGCTGCTGCTGCTGTTGCTGCTGCTGCTGCTGTGCGTTGGGTTGCTGCTGCTGCTGCTCTTTGTGCGTCTGCTGCTGCTGCTCGCTGCGTTGCTGCCGCACGCTGGGCTGCTGCTGCTGCGCGTTGTGTCGCTGCTGCTGCTGCTTCTCGTGCTGCTGATTTTGCTGTTGCTGCTGATTGGGCTGCTGCTGGCTGTAGCGCTGCTGCTGCTGCTGCTGCTGCTGCTGGCCTTTCTGTTCTGCTGCTGTCCATGCGGCTGCTACTGCTGCTGTGGCTGGAGAGGAGATAAGTGATGCTGCTCAGCTTTTGCTGCTGGGCAGCGAGGGCTTAGACCCGCGTGCTGCTGCTGCTGCAGCTTCTGCTGCTGAGTGCTTGCTGCTGCTGCTGCTGCTGCTGCAGCATTTCCAACATTTTGGGGACATTGTCTCTGCGCGCATTCAAAGAGACGTGGAGGGGCGCAGCAGGGGCTTTGGCTTTGTCAGCTTTGCTGACCAAACATCAGTGAGTTGCTGCTGCTGCTGCTGCTGCTGCTGCTGCTGCTGCTGCTGCTGCTGCTGCTACAGAGGACTGCGGGGTGTTTGCTGCTGCTGGGGCTGCCTGCTGCTGCTTTCTGCCTGCGTGACTTGCGCGGTTGCTGCTGCTGTTGCGTGGCCTTGCTGATATGCCACTGCTCCGCTGCTGCTGCTGCTGTTTGTGCACTGCCGTTCTACTTTGCTGCTGCTGCTGCTGCTGCTGCTGCTGCTGCTGCTGCAGGCAGTGCATGCAATCCGAGGCATGCATGGCTTCCTTGTGGGGGGAAAGCATTTGAAGGTGCAACTAAAGAAGGGAGAAGACCTGCGGCTGACTCCGGGTAATTCTTTTGCTGCTTTTTATAATTCATTTTGCTGCTGCCAGCTTTTGGTTTGCGTCTTCGTGCTGCAGCAGCAGCAGCAGCAGAAGCTGTGGCGGCAGCAGCAGCAGCAGCAGTTGTAGCAGCAACGCTGCTGTAGCAGCAGCAGTAGCAGCAGCAAGTAATGCGCCTTCACGCAGCGTCTGCTTTGCAGCACATCGTCGGTGCCGTGTCTCTGGCTTCACCTGCTGCTGCTGCTGCTGCTGCTGCTGCTGCTGCTGCTGCTGCTGCTGTGCTGCAGCGCTCAAGGCCATGCTGCCTATCTCTCACCAACCCGGCGGGGCCTTCTATGGGGGGGGCCCCTCAGTGGGCGGTATTGGGTCCTCCCCTGCACGTTATTCCCCATACTAGCTGCTGCTGCTGCTGCTGCTGCTGCTGCTGCTGCTGCTGCTGCTGGGGCAGCAGCAGCGTGGGCAATGAACAGGAGCCAGCAGGCTCGGCGGGGAGAGCGACACAGTCCCTCTTG